TCTCTCTCTCTCTCTCTCTCTCTCTCTCTCTCTCTCTCTCTCTCTCTCTCCGTCACCAGCGGCTTAAACCCACAGCCACACACAACCAGGCAGAAGAAAAAGAAGGAGTATTTCTGAATTCGCATACATCCGAAGCTTTCGAGCGGTTTAAGCTAACCAAGGTGGTGGTTTAAGTTTCGCATACATCCGAAGCTTTCGAGCGGTTTAAGCTAACCAAGGTGGTGGTTTGAGTTACCCCCCCCCCAAAAAAAAAAAGGGTGGTGGTTTAAGCTGACCAAGGGAGTCAACCAAGGGAGAGGAACGATGAGGAAAGGAGAGTGTGACATTACCTGGGGGTTTACTAACTGAGGCATTCGTAGTTCCGCCATCGACCCTTTCACTTCGTAGAACATCTTCTTCTTTCCTGTACTCATGTCCTTGATCGTTACAGCACTGCACAAAAAAAAAAAAAAAAAAAAACAAACAAACAAACAAACAGTTCAAGAATCAGAAATGTCGTCAGGATCTGATCTCCTGTCCTGCATTCCCTGCTGCTCTCAAGAGTCTCAACTATAACAGTTCGTTTTTTTTTTTTTTTTTGCAAAATAAATTAAATAACTCACATTCTATTCCAAAAACAGGGGCGAGGCCAGGGACCTCACAATTCAACCCAGGGTTATCCTGGGAGCCTTAGCTTACAAGCTTCCGCTCACGACAGACACCTGTCTGTCCTAAACCTCCTTTCAGTCTGTATCCTTGTGCCTGATTCCATCCTACCATTCTATACCTCCTCTACCTGCCGAAGTCCTATTTCTTTTAGTCCCTTATTTCCTTTATCCCTCCTTAAATAACCTGTTCCTACGATGCATTTTCTATTTTTTCTCCTTTCCTTTTTGAAACAATCCCTCCTTCCGGGCAGCTTTTCCCTGTTATACTTTTGAGGGGGCCACTCCGGGACTCGGCAGGAAAGAAAACCACCCTGGTTCCGGGCAACCCTTTGCTGCTCCTAAACCCCCTAAACCCTATCCTACACTTCCTGCTACGAACTCGTTATCCTATACTCCTTCTTAATCCCTACCAAGTCACAGCGTGGAAATACATAGCGGTAGCTGCCTTGTTGTCCCTTGGTGAGAGCTTTGGGTAGCCAGGCTGCACTCTTCTTCTTCCGCGGCCTCCCTCCCCCCCCCTTCTCCATTGGAATCTAATCCCTGTCCCTTGAATTGCTGCCACCTTCCCCTTACGCATAGTATTGTTTGCTCGAACCTCCTCCTGATTTGCTGGGCCTTCTCCATGTTCTGCCGCATGAGTTGTCTTGTCCCCTTCCATTGTGCTGTGCCCTGATGTCCGTCTCGAGTAGATTGAAGAGTATGCTTCTTGCTTCCTGTCTATGCATTGCTCTTTTTTTCAATTGTATGCTGGCGTCTCCTCTTCCAAATAGTCCACACAGTGTACTTCTGCCTTAGCAGGCCGAAGATCTTCTTCTCTCCACCCACCCTGAACTTCGCTGCGTCTGCTGCCCCATTAACCGATTGATCAGATCTTCTTCCTGTCTCTTATACACATCTAGATGTGTATAAGAGACAGGTCCACACAGTGTACTTCTGCCTTAGCAGGCCGAAGATCTTCTTGTCTCCACCCACCCAGGACTTCGCTGCGTCTGCTGCCCCATTAACCGATTGATCAGATCTTCTGGGAACTGCTGAGTTGTTACCCTACTCCATATGTCTTTAGCCATTTCCCAGATTGCTTGCGCCTCTCAGCAGCATTAAGAAAAAAAAAAAAAAAAAAAAAAAAAACAGAACCTGATGGTTCTGGCTCTGTTTCCATTCTGGGAGCATCAGTCTGGTTGCGCCTCTCAGAACCGGTGGGCTACCTTTCTTTAACTCCTTCCATGCAGACCGCACAATACTCTCGTTTGGTGTGTCCCTGTGTTCTCGACTCCTACGTCTGTTAAGCCAGAGGTTGACTGGTAGGGCTAGGTGTAGGGTTAGCAATTGCAGGCTTCTTCTGGCCCTAAACCCTAATCTGATTGCGGACAGACTGGCCCATGGCATACTTGGGACCTGTGTGTGAGACACCCCCATTTTATCGATCCACCTCTTACTTAATGTTTCACTTATAGCTGGCAAGAGCGCCTTCTGAGGGGGTTATATCCCAGCTGTGTCGTATAATTCCTGGACGTTTATTCTTCTGGCGGCCACCTTAATGCAAGGAAAATGAGCGATAGCGAACTTCAGAAACCAAGCAGCATCATACACATGAGACCAGATAGTCGTGACCTCGAACCAAAAGCAGAATTGCATCACGAGTCCCACCAAATAAGAGCACAGCAAAAGCTCATAAGTGACAATGTTCGAATAGTCTCATCATCATCAACAAAGAACCAATGTTGATATCCTATCTGGTGTTCGGCGCCCAGACTACAAATGGCAGATCCTATCTAGCCTATCTACAATGCCGCTGATGACGTCAACAGCTCCCCGAAGTACGAGCAGATCTTGGCCAATGCCGTACGCCTCAAGCACCAGGTATGTCTCTCGCCTCACTCATAACCTCGATCCCCAACTCACAGATGCCACATGCACCCAAGGACCACCATGTACCTCATCCAGCATACGGCAGGGCAGCTCGGCTATGGCTGCCTGCTCCTTCCAGCTCGCCCGTGAGCGCGTGAGCGCTGGCCAGCGTTAGCGCAGCAGCGCTTGCACAGCATGCAGCCAGTGCCAGAATGCTGAATGCGTGGGCAGGGCCTTTCCTAAATGGAAGTGGCCTGCTTGCTTGCATGCAGCCTGGCTGTGCTGGGCCCCTGCCCAGAAGCTTCCGGTAGACCCAGAGAGGCTGAGCCCCAGTCCAAATGAATCAGGCCCTGGGCCTGTGGTGGTTGCCCTTGTTCAACTGCCCGCGGCCTGTGTTTGGTCCATGTTGCGAATCTGGCCCAGGGCCCAGGGCCTGGCCGCTCTCAACCAACTGGCGCTGCGTAACTGCCTGAATTTACCCAGTTGCGTGGTGACCCCCAAAAAAATAGTCCTGTAGACCCTGGGTCGAGCCTGCCTTCACGTAGGGCGGCCGACTGTACAGAAAATAGGGCCCAGTAGGGCAGATCAAGGCCTTGAGCCTCGCGTTAAGAGCTCCGCTCCTCATATTCCCCCCCCCCCCCCCCCCCACCCCCCACCCCAATTCCGCTGGGGTCCAACATCCAAGTCTTCCACTACTGTCGCAGGTTTGAACAGGGTGTATTCATCTCTGTCTCCACCATTCTCATCTCACTTTCCTGACCTCCTCCGCCCCAACTGTCACTCGTCGAGTCTTGGAGTCCTTGTCCAATCTGTCGATAGCCGCTCCCAGATGCGTGGCCATGTACATATCCGTGGACACCCACTCGCGTGTTGGCCCTTCCCTTTTACGCACTCCGAAAACTTCGCCAGATGTTCCGTTTCCGTCTTGTCGCCAGGTTGGCCAGTCTCCATATTCCCATCGGGGTCCTCCTTCCAACAGTCTCTTCCATTCCTCCCGGATTGCGATCACCACGTCCTTGAGATTCTCCAGGAGTCTGTGGGTGCGCCCCCCCTTCATCTCCACCCTTAGCTCCCTAGCCGTTTCCACTGCTTTTTTTTCTTCTGACTACAGCTGCTTAAGGGAGGAAATTTTCCCGGCCAAAGTCAGAGAGCCCCGTTCGTGGGAGGAGGTACTGCGTCAACACATTGTTTTGCAATCAGGGGTCAGGGTAACCACCGGACTCCAAATGGGGTATAAGTTCCGTACAACCCTTCCTTAAAGCACCTGTCAAGCACGAAACCTGCACCAATTCAGAGGCCGCTGATTTTTTTTCAACGGCGCCCCACGCCGCACGGCCCCTCCGAGTTTTGCTGGTGGCGACAAAAACTTTTTGCAAGGCTGGGGCCGTGACCTCGCAGTTCTAAAAGGAAAAAAAAAAAAAAAAAAAAAAAAACAGAACCTTCCGATGCTGGCTCCTTTTCCATTTGGGGGAGCATCAGTCCGGTTCCTTTTCCACCGGCAAGTCAGAAAAGGATTACATCAAGTACACACGCATCGCTCCTCCCTCTTATGGTGGGAAGGCCCGAAGGACAGCCATATTGATTACTTCCTGGAGCAAGGATGCATCATCCCTCACCAAGGCCCGAAGGACAGCCACAATAATTACTTCCTGGAGGAGGGATGTACCATCCCCCTCACCCCTCCTAACTATAACCCATCCTTGTCAGAAGAGAAAATCCTCGAACAGTGCGCAATTCACACAATTAGCAATATTATGATGTAGACCACCCTACACGACGACCATGGCATGTATACACCAATTTTGGCACAAACAGTCAACGCAATTCCGGAAACACTAATTTTGGCAAGGCAGAGGCCGCAGGTGACAGGTACCGGTCCAAAGCAGGCACGAACAGTCGTCCATGGCTCCAACTATGCTGACCTGCTACAAAGCCAAGCCAACTCAGTTGTTCATTTGCAAAGTTGCGGAAGCGCTGCTAGTTGTTTCTGCGATAACGTGACCTGGACAGAGGACAAGCGCCGGGGGGAAGAAGCAAGCACCCTGGCTACGAGAGTTGGCCATAGCTAGAGTAGTTGGGAGGAGGAAGACGGCGGCCATAGCCGCCCAAGGTTGACGAGACACATCGCAGTTGTATTCAAGGTTAGATCCTAGGAAGAGAGAGAGAGAGAGAGAGAGAGAGAGAGAGAGAGAGAGAGAGAGAGAGAGAGAGAGAGAGAGAGAGA